CCTGGAGATACCATTTTTTCATCTTTAATGGGAACAATAATATCTGCCTTGCCTATCTGACAGGTTGTTTTGAGGATCGAATTAGTACTCGAGCATGTTAAGGATACAGCTTCCATCTCATTCATCTTGTCTGTTGCCCAGCCGAGGGCCAGCCTGGAGTAGGTGTTCCATAAATGTCTACAGAATGAGTAATAGTGACAGAAATGATTTGTAAAATGAAAGTCATTAATTAGTGGATCCTACTAAATCCTCCTCCCAGGCCAGCAAAGTGTGATACTATCACCCACAGCCAGTCATAAGTAATATCAAATATGCTTGGGAGGAGATCTTTGACACTGATCATTTTTGCCACTAATCTCTTCATAAAATAAATATGGAAATGGCAGAGCAACTTACCGTTTCATTATCTAGGATAAACTTGGCTCGTAAAGCAATTTCCTTCTGTGACAAGGTTTAGGGACTCAATAATTGTTCCAAGGATCATTCTAGCTTACGTTAGTAATGTGGCTTATTGTTTAGATTTCTGACCAATGGATTCAAGCTACTCTGAAAAAAGAAGAACTATCTAATTATAAGGTAAGTAATAATAACAATCCTTTAACCAAATCATTTGGAAATAGATGGCTTAGACTTGAACATTTTTTTCAGATATTTGAAAGGTGTTAGCAGCAAAAAAGCATGTACTACATACCCCCAACAGGGTCTGAAAAAGCACCTTATAATTAAACACACTAATATTTCTGCAGAGATATATATGAACATTCATTCCAAGTGGGATGAAGACTGAAATAGTCTCACATCAGTTCAATTAAGGCAGTTTCAACATGAGATTCGAAAAACTTGATTTTCAGAGCCTTTTTGGATTTTAAAAATGCAGACAAGAAATAAAGAATCCACTTTAATCAACAAAGACCTCCTGTATAGTGCAGGGAACTCTGCTCGATGTTATGTGGCAGCCTGGATGGGAGGGGAATTTGTGGAGAATGGACATGTATATATAAGAATGAGTCCCTTCGCTGCTCACCTTGAAACGATCACTATAGCTGGGGTTAACCAGCTATACCCCAACACAAAATAAAAAGCTTAAAGAAAAAAATAACGAGGTTGTGTTTTCAATAAATAAGAGATTGTTTACACAGAGCTTTTAGACAGAAAAGGCTCTACCATGTCCATTTGAAGTTCCTACAGGCTTGAATATTAAATCTATCTCTTAAATTCATCTACATAAAATCATTTTCACAATATTTTAAAATAACTGAGAAAATCCTCAAATTCAACCAGAAACATCATTTATTTCAACCTGCCGCCTAATTCAGCTGATCCCCACTATAGCATCCTAGCCAGATGGTCACTTAGCCTTTGCCGAACACTCCTGTGGATAAACGGTTCACTTTTCATGCAGTAACTTGCTGTACTTTCGAGCAACCTTAATTATTAGAATCAAAGTTAACTCCCCTGACACTTTTACCCTTTGGTCCCAACTCTGCCCTGGGGATCAGCAAAAACTATTCTCCTCCCACTCTGCCACATGACAGCTAGGCAAATATTTGAAGTGGCAATCATACCATTCACCTCTTCTCCAGCCTAAACATTTGCTCGAACTCTTCCCCATAAAGCATGGCTTCCTCTTCCCTCACGCCCTGAGAGCCCATGGTAATCTTTAACTTGTCAATATCTGTGTTAAAATGAGGTAGGTAGAGCGAGACAAGCCTCCAGCCCAGAACACAGGGAAACTGCTACCTTCTTTGTAAGCTATATACCACACTTCTATTAGTTCAGCCTAAAATTACATTAGCTGCTTATGGAGCGTAATATGTTTATATCATTTTGCACTCAGAGTAAACTAACACCTCTATTTTTGCACATGCATTGTCGTGGCAATCCAGGAATCTCTTTTGATTTCTATTTTCAGCCTCAATAAAGGGCTTTTATATTGGTCTGTGTTTGATTAAATCATATTGGTTTCCATTCTAACATTCATATTTCACTTTGAATCTTGATTTTGTCTTTCAGTATATTAGATATGACTGCTCGCTCTGTGTCACCTACAGATTTGATGAGCAGATCTTCTAACCTTCAGTAAAGACTTCAAAAAAAAAATGAACAAGGTAGGATCAAGAGCCCTATGGCATACCACAAGACACTTCCCTCCTGGAAGGCATCCTCCTGTGCTTACTATCCAAAACAGCCAGTGAACCTCACACACAAATAATACAAACGGGAAAGCAAGTACTAAATGAGCAGCAAGAAAAACACAGGCTATACAGAGAAGAGGATAACACACAACAATCAGGGTTCTAAAACTTAAGTTTTAGAATTTCTAATTTAGAATTGCCAATACAAGTTTGTCTACAAAAGGGCACTTTAAAAACATGCCGTTCCTTCCAGAAATGTACATACCTATGTGCTAGGGTTGTAACATAAAAATCCATTTCTCACTGTGGATATCACCCAGAAAGTTTACAAACACCTTGTTAAAGGTTGGTATGATCTAAAGTGTCCTGGGGAGAGTACACCAAGGGAAAAAATTTTACCGTGTCATGGATCGATACACTCCGATAGATGTAACTTTTTCCACTGCCCACTTCACTCCACCCACCCTACCCCAACTCCACTCACCACTGCATGTAACCCCAACATACAGACATCAATATTTTAAGCATACATATAATATATATACATGATTATGATCAATTGGTTTTCCAAGGGATTACTCACTTTTAAAATGAGTCCACACAAACATTCATTTACAAGGTAAGTGACCCTGATTTAATACGCTTATTTGATTGACACCCAACTGTTTTCAGAATACCAAGAACACAAAATATCCAGGGTTGCTGCTGTTTGCTCACATTTTTTGAGCAAACAGCAAATTGTGTAACAAACCTAAGGTTAAACATGACCCTTGAAACTGTCCCCACATCTCTCCCTTCAGGTCACTTTGATGAGACAGTAAATATTGCTATGGTTCCACTTTGAAAAAACAGGGCTTAAGCAATTTTTTCACATGAAATTTAAAAGTCCCTTCAGAAAAAAAAAAATTCCTCGATTGGAAATGTAATAAATTCTAAAAAATGACATAACTGAAGCGATTTTGGTCTCATGAATCACTAAATTCTGATGGTTTCTGTTCTCTCATTCTCTGTTTTCTGTCTCTTCTGCCTTTCTCCATCTGTAAATTAGTTACAGACAGAAACCAACAAACCCAGAACCCATTCACTGAATTACATCACTTGGAATTAGAACTACAAGAAAATTCATTTTTGAATAAGAGAATCTTGAAAGCATTTGGAATATGAAGCTCATCATTACAAAGTTATCCCCCATTTATGTCCCAATATTTAAGTTACAATATCTTAAAAAGGCAAGTTCTTCTGATGCAAGAGTCAAGCAAAAGAACAATTTTTTTTTAACTAAACTAGGGTTAGTCATTATTTCCCCAAGTATGTCATGATACAGTATTAATGACCACGATGAGTGTATCACTTGCGTAATGGGCAATTTAGTGTAAGCAATAACTCTTAAAAAAGAGAAGTTTAGATTAAGAGCTGGGGGAAGGAAAACTAAAGTATGAGGGAAAAAAAGAAGTAAAAATAATTCCAAAACTCAGATATGCAAATAGCTTTAAAAAGAAGTATAAAAATGGAAACTGAAATTTCAGATATGAGCTGACATTCTCCAAGTTCAAGGGGGTGAACACAGTTCACTGGGAACAACATCTGCAAAGCAAAATTGTCCTCCCAGAACACAAAATGCTTGCCTTAATCATATGTAGGAATCTACGCAAACTTAGTGTGTTGGTAAACTCCTAAAAATGTTTCCACTCACCCCCATCTCTGTTTTACTGGAGGTTTAAATTCACTCTAATTCACTGCCTCCCCAACAAGTCTCCTACTTAAAAAAAAAAAAAAAAAAGAGGGAGCAAGACATGTAAAAACTTCAATGGGGTCAAACATCATAGTTTTATAGCAGATGTATACAGAATATTACTGATTGAAAGGGTTTTCGGAACTTTCAGCAAACCCAAGATCAACTAAATGGAAAATTTTTAGGATTTTTCCACAATGAAAATTACAAACCACGTTTGGAACCTGATGTTCCAAAACATGATCCTTCAAAATTATCCTAAGAAATTCCATTATGTTGTCACCAGTTTATATTGATAAGGTAAAGAATTTGACATAATGCATTGCCTTTGGTTGATATGAACACAATGCCCCCAAACCAGATTTCCCCAGTCTGATAGCTGCAAAACCATTATAAAATCCATTAAACTATCTCAGTAAGCAAGAGAGGGAAGGCCACTTTGTGCTCAGTGACCTATACTCAGCCCATGGATTATGAAGCAGGCAATGTAGTGAGAAGGCCCTTTTTGACTCTATATCTGATCTCCAGGGAGCCAGTGCTCAATTCTTTCCAGGACAAAGTCTGAAGCACACATTCCCTCCAACAAAAGAAGGCAGTTTTGGAAAGAAAGATAAAAAGCAAACAAGGGAAATGAGGAGCTTGATACCTTTGATACTTCTGCTCTATATAGCTTCACACTTCCTGTATAATCCGTGATTCCCATAAACGTCCTATACACAAGTAATCTCAAAGGTAAGGGAAACCCACGTGGCTTTAAGACGTCCAAAGTACCGAAATGTGAAACGTAGACGTCAGGGGACTACTTGGCTGCCAGTGCGTGTCTCATATACAAAGGGGTGAGGGTGCACACTGTCTCCAGACACCCCATCTTTCCACCTTTCTGCACCAATTAGAACCAGAACGGCTTCTTTAGCATGCATTGTCCACACAAAAAAGGGTCAGCTCCTTTTTTTCTGAGGACACACACTTGTCAAGTGTGTTTGAGACAAAGCAGAGAGACCTGACCTCCACCGCCTGCCTTCGCGGGGCCTGTGCCTTGAGGACTTGTTGCTCTGGCGGTGGGAAGTCACCCCGTCCAGCGGCCGAGGCCTGCCCGGTCCCTGAGGAAGGCAGCCTGTGCGGGGAGCCGGGACATGGGTGGGCCCTGGAGCCCCTGGGGCGCCCCTCCGCCTCCAAACCGCGGGAGCCCGCCCGGGGTGGGGGGGCAGCGGGTACCGCTCCCGCCCCGGCCCAGGCGTCCCCCGCAGGCCTCGAGAAAGCATCCGTCTTCGGTCCTGCCTTTTGTCTTCAGTCCCCCCTCCTTCTCCGCAGAGCAGGCCCGCAGCAGGCTGGAGCAGGCCGGGCGGCCTCGCGCACGCCCACCCAGGCCCCGCTGGGCCTCGGCTCGAGGAGAGGAGCCCGAGTCTCGGAGGCCTGACCCGGCCGCGTGCTCGGCCGAGGCTCCGGGGGGCCCGACCGGGACGCCCGATCTAGGGCACCCGAGGGCCAGAACCGACCCCCTACCCCGCCCCGCCCTCTGCCAGCGCCCCCAGGCTTTCCCCATCCCCTGCTCGACCCGGGGATCAATAGTGGCCGCTGATTTTCCGCGACAATTGCAGCTGCCTAATTCGTCGGTGAAGAATTAAATCAGAAGCGGTCAGGCCGGCCCCAGCCGGGCCGGGCTTGGCGTCGGAGACTAGGGGCTCCCCTCCCGGGTCTCGTCAACATGGGTGCCTGGTTGGGACCTACGAGGGCGCTCGGGGTCAGGTCCGCCACAAGAGCGGACCGAGCCGGGGCCGAGCCCTCCGAGGTGGGCGAGGGAAGTAGGAATTGATGGGGTGGGGGGCGACCTGGGGGGAAAGGAGGACGAGGACGCACGGGAGGCTCCCAGGCCCCTGTTGGCGCTTATTCCAGGTCTCCCCACCTCTCCGGGGCCCCGCGCCGGGCAGCGGCCTCGGTTTCCTGCAGACACTCGCCTCTCCCTGCCTTTGCGCAGGAAGAGGAAATCCACTCAGGGGAGGCGCTCTGCCTTTGAGAAAGACGGAGAGGAGCAGAGAGAAGCGCCTAGAAACGGCATTGATTTAGACATCAATCCTGGCCGGCTCCCTCCGCCTCCCGAGCCGCGGCTGGGCGCAGGCCCCGGGGCCGGGAGGACAGAACCGGGGCAGCTCGAGGGCGCGGTCCGCCGCGGGCGGCCTCCGGCGCGGCTACCCAGCGCCCGCGGCCCCGACGCCGCTCCGCGCAAATGCAGCTTCCGCGTGGCCAACAGGTCTCTCTCCCCCGAGTCAGGTGCGCTGCGGCCATCGCTCTGCCAGGCCCGGCGGCAGGACGCCCTCGGCGCCCGGCGTCTTTCAGAAGCAGCCGAACCACCTGTGCCCGGCCAGACCCGGCCCGGCGCTGGAGGCAGTGGCCCGTGGGGACCGTGGTCCGTTCCTCGAACGCCCATGGCCGCCCCGGAACCCTGCAGTCGGCCAGAGTTTGCTCTTTTCTGACACGTTTTGAAAGCGAAACAATTCAGAATTTTTCAAAAATGCCATCGAAGCAATTTCCCCAAAATTAAATGCTCCTGAAATAATCTCGAGTTTGTTTTCTATTCTACTTTTGATTGTATTACCTTGAAAGATCAGCTCAGACTCACTCGGCAATTTAATATCCTTGGAGGCTGATGTCCCAGGAATCTAAAAATATATACGTATCATGTGATTTTTTAAAAAAGAAACGGTCCGATTGGCGTGAATATCTTAAAACCCCTCAGTTGGTTTTTAGTTTTCCAACAGAAATATTACCCTTGAAATCGGAAATTATACTTTTCAAGTTTAAAATACAACCAACTCTTTTTTTAAAAAATTCTATATGTTTTTTAAAAAATCAGTAGTAGCTAGAGAAGTGAAATTATATAAAAAGATTTTTGAACGCTCCCATTTTCAAAGAGAGAAGTGCTGGATATTTGTGTTAATGTCTAAACAATACTGAAAACAGCAATCAAAAAGGGTTATGACCAGAGCAAATAAATGATCGTTTTAAGGAGGTAATAAATAAAAGCGACGCCCGTCTTTGGTGTCTCAGAACAACTTGAAAACAGCTCCCCTTTCAGAGTCCTTTTAAAAATCAACTGCAACTTTTGCCTTCCTTTTGAAAGAACCACAAGAAGATTTCATGCACAAGTTGACCTGAACAAAAGGACCTCACGCCAATTTTTCTTTTTGCGGGCTGACGACTGGAGGAGAGGAGAACTTTAGGTATCCTTGGATTGTACTTGGGGAAACCCACTGTAAAAAGAAAGTGCGAGCGCAGCTCCACACGGCTTAAACCCGACTTCAGGGCTTTGCGCAGAGAGAACGCACAGGACTGCAACTTAAGGCCGGTGGGGAGAAAATTCGTCGACGTGGTTTTCAGGCTAACAAGTTGCTCTCTTAAAGCTCAACGTTCTTTTGGGAGGGGGGAGGGGGGGAGAATGCTACGTTGTTGTAAGAGCCAGGCTCCCCCCACCCCCGCGCCCCTACTCCTCCAGCTAACTAATTAAATAAATAAAATAAGCCTTCTCTGGTCTTTGCAGGTTCGAGACCTCAAATTCTCCTTCACTCTTTTTATTTCCCCCAAGCATCAAATTATTTCTCCCACCAGCTTCCGAAGCGGTAGCAGCCTGTCAACCAGAATCGGAAAGAGGGGGTGGCGCTCCAGACGAGGTTCTGTTGTGAACCCCGAAGGAAGGACTGTGCCCGAGCAGGGACTGCGGTCCCAGTACCCAGCCCTGGCTACAGTCACCTAGGATCCAGGTCGGAGGCCCGGGGACCCACCCCCGGCGAAGTTCCCCCCTAGCGAGAGGGCCAGGGAACCCAGGGAGGGCAGGCAGGACGAAGGACAAAAACCTGTAGGTGTGTTTCTGTGTATCCGTGTGTGTCTGTGTGTGTTGTGTGTCCTTGAGGACACAAAGCTCCATCAGGCTCCCACCTGACGGGGTGGAGGGGTGCGATCAAGGTCGGCGGACCTAGTCCCGGGCTTTCTTTGAAATTAGGCAGGGGGAAGGGCAAAAAGCTTTGCTAAGAAGCTCAGCGTTCCGGCTGACGCTGCCCCTCCAGACTGGCCGCCCCAGAGCACGTGCCGAAGTTCGCTGGGACGGGGTCTCCGCCACCCCTTCCCCTCCCCGCCCCTCCCCTCCCCCAAGCCCGCCCACTTCCCGCGCCCGGACTACTGAGGCTAGGTGGGTTTCGCCCAGGCCCCGACTTGCCGCTGGGTTGCAACGCCGGCCCTACTCCGCACTTTCGAATCCAGACGGCGGGCTTGGGGCTCCGAGGGAACAGTTCTCCCAGTAGGGAGGGCTCCAGGAGCCTGGTTTTTCTTTCCCTAAGAGGCTAGTTAAGGGTGAGAAGAGCACTAACAAACTCCCAACTCTCGCCGACCTGGTGCAGAGTATCCTTTGTCCACCCGAAAGTTCAGGGCAGTCCCCCACCAGCTCTGGTAACTAACTTGGCAGGGTTTTTTCCCCCGAAATTAAGAACAGCCACACAGCGCCAGAAACAGACCAAAAAAAAAAAAAGGACCGGTTCGGCCTTACCACCTATTAATAGAAAACTTTTAAAAACAACTTTCCTAGATTCACCTGGAATCTGAGAAGGATCAGTGAATTTCTGAGATGAGTGGCCCGAGGGAGTTGGTGAGCTAGGCTTCGGTTTTGGTTTTCCTCTCTGTGCCCAACCAGCCCGAGCTTTCAGGCCGAAGAAAACTGGAGGTAATGGAGATATCAAACAGTCACGATTCCGAAGACGCCCTTTCCGCCACTAGCACCCACCTTCCATCTGCAAGGATAATCACAGACGTGCGGCGTCTTCATCACCAGGGGCTCCGAGAAAATCCAACGTCTTTAAAAGGAACCCTCTATTATCACTAGTATTGTTTGTGTATAGCAACATAAGAATTTCCCCCTCCTTTGAAAATTCCCCCACAATACTGAAACAGCATTTGTCTTCCGATTCCTGCAAACGCTTGAGGCCTTTCTGGAAAACCATTACCATTCAATGGCTAGAAAATTGCTCTCTTTCCTTTAAAAAAAGAAGGGGGAAAAAAGGGCGCAGCAGCAGCTACAACAGACAACAAAAACTTTCTCCTGCATAATCCCTGCTCACGGAATGACAAAGAAATGGTATTGACTTACCCCTGAACGGACGATGTGTTTGATAAGGGGGGGGGGGACTTTTTTGAAGATTTCTGTTCGGGAGCTGCACAGACAGCTGCAATTCATGGGCGACGCTGATTGCCAGAAACGCTATGGATTGGCATGGGGTCTGCAGCGCACAGATCCTGATCAATACCCCTACACTCACACGCCAGATGGTTTGGGGAAGGACAAAAATAAAATAGTCCAAATCAACCCACCATTATGTCTTTTTGTATTGCTCTGATAAACCTAGTTGTAGCACAAATGCGTTCTCCCCAACACAAAACCTTCTTCAGGATTTTGAACGTTTAGGTGAAAATAAGCCGCCCCCCTCTACCCCCAGGGTTTGGGCTGTGGTTACTGTTGTTTAGTGAAAGAGCTGTTGGACCCGTTATCCAGGTTGGCTTTACTTGTGGTCTGTTTATTTTGTGTGTGTGTGTGTGTGTGTGTGTGAATAATTTATAAGTTCTCTGTTTTAATTGAATGTTCACACTCCTCAGACGCTTAAAAATTTTTTTAATGTGAAAACACATATGAAAACTCCAACAGTAAAATTTTCCAGTCTTTTCCTGCACTTGCTAACTCAAATTCAGTTTGTTCTTTTTCTTTTGCAGTACAATAGCTTACATTTGTTGTCAATGTGTTTTATTTACAGGGTTCTTTTGACCCATTTAAGTGTGTGGTCTTGAAGAAAGTCGGTGCTATAAATGGGGGTATTCTGAGCAAAGGATAGTCTACTCCTGATATAATTACTGGTAATTTTAATAGTCATGAAGTAGCATTTCTGCTGTCACATTGCTATATGGTCGAGGGGAACAAGAGTGTAACTTTAAAATAAAAGAAAAAATTCTGAGTCTCAGAACTTCTGAAGGCTACAGCATATGTGCTATTCAAGAGGTGGTCAGAAAGCAACTCCTCCTTTTTATTTTCTTGAACTGTAGAGGGGAAAAAAAATCAAAGCTATTTCAAAACATATTTGAAAATGGTATTCAATATTAGTACTTATGTTCTTAAAATTATCTTCGAGTAGATACTAAATATTTTTCCTGTTTAAAAAGAAAGGAGGGAAACATGCAAACGTAATTCAGTAAAAAAAAAAAAATTAAGATGCTGACTAAACACGCACATTAATTTTTCTTTTAAATGGGTTGGGGGTTGAAATTCAAAAACGTCAAATCACTATCAGAAAAACAACATGAAAAATCTGCTTTAATCTAGCCCAATGAAATTATACACAAAGAAGCCAATACGATTTCATGATTTCCCTGAGATCGCCAATATTGATCGAGGGAAGAGGTGGGAGGGAGGGGAGAGCGAGGAAGAGGCCAGAATATGCAACTCACCTTTCAGCTCCCCAGCACGTGACTGCTTCCAGGCACACGGAGATGCAATACCCAGGAGCAGATTTATCCTAGTAGCCTGGTAAATGAGTTTATCATTTTGAAATTTTATTTAAATGCCATTTATATGCGGAGGTTTCTGAAACGGCGATAGTGCCTACCGAAGTCCCAGCCTGGGGTCACGGGCCACTCCCGGAGCCTGAAGCCAGGGTGGGGGGAGGCCGCCTTCAGTACCAGGGCACTCGGATTCCTCTCCTGCCCTCTTTCAGTCTCTGAAACTCTTGGGCCGACAGGAGATTGCACTCTTGTGAACTTTTGTTCAACTTGATGTGTATTTCAAACATTTAACTTTCAAGTTATCCCCAAATGTCCAGTCGCCATCTATAAGGTGGAGAGTAGGAAGAGAGATGGTAGGAGATGGTGAGGGAGAGAGAAAAGTCAGAGAAACAGAAAAGTGAGGGATGCTACCTGCCTAGGGCTGTGATATTAAAGATTTGAGCAGCTAAGAAATGTGTATCTAGCAAATCAGGGGATCATCCACTTTCTTGCCCAGGCTTTGATAGCACAGAGAAGAGGCTATCTGAAAGAATAATTGGCAAGATTTGGGCCAGAACTCAATAAAGTTGATCTGTAAACAGTGTCACCGTACATTCATGTGACAGGATGATGGGGGGGGGTGGGTTTTTTTTTTTTTTGGCTCTGTATCTAGAATAGAGAGGAGGGCAGCCATAAAAGGTGACTGAGACTAAGAACAGTTTTCCAAATGAATAAAACCTTTCTCTAGCGCCAGGAAGGCATATACAGTATTCCAGCCTGTGTTCTTGTTTTCTTATCAAGTTTTCTCTAACAGCTGGAAGTGGTTGGAGGGGGCTGTCTTAAGGAGACCCCCTGCTCTTCTTTTGACAGCTGATCAAAAGAAAATAGGTCACGCTTCTCAAACTTATGTCCACCCTGTCCTTAATTACTGTCTCTTTAAACAAAGGCAACATCTGCGCAACCTCAGCTAGCTTGAATCTTCGGAGGCAAACAGCGCAACCTGCTTTGGAAGAAGCAGCTACTTTTAAGGCTTTCCGTGCTGAGCGGCTCTCGGCCTTCCACCAGCCCTCCACCCCAACCCCGGGCCGCAGAAATCTGCCCCTTCTCTCTACGCGCGCTCCACTCCCAGTACCCGACCGGGGGTTAATCAACAACGGAAATACTGGGTTCGTGAAGGTGCACTTTTCAAAGCTGCGACTTGGGAGCTTTCTGAAACTGACCAAGGCTCTGTTCTTTTCAAAACCAAGGCTTGGATATGCAGATCTGGGCTCCAGGTCATCTACCCACAGCCTTAACCCCGGGCGTCCCTCTCCTAGGATTTGAGGGATGTGTGTGTGTGTGTGTGTGTGTGTGTGTGTGTGTGTGTGTGTGTGTGTGTAAAGATCGGTAACCTCGCGGACGGTTTACACACTCCCAGCACCCCGAAGTTTGCTCGCTACAGGCATCGGCAAACAAGCCTACTGTACACGGCCCCCACCCCCAGCCTCTCCACCCCCCCTCCCCACCCACTCCTTTCCAACTCGCTCCCGCAGCCAGCATATGGTCACCTTGAAACCGCAGCTCCTGGTGTTCCAGTTTTGTTTTGCGATCTAGCAGGGCCCTTCTGAAGGCTCATAACTAAGAGATTTATGGGCTTGTTGGGTAATTAAATGATGTGATCGTGTTAACTTTGCATGCATCAGAGAGGCCCGCTCGGGGGCGGCAGGGGCGCTGGTTGTTCCCTTCGCCCCGTAGACTATGCACTCCCCAGTCTCGGGGATTTACCGTGCATTACAATACATTAGCGCCTGCGTTTTTAAAAAAGCTGCATTACTGGCTCCCAGCTAGTGACCCTCGGGTAGTGGCTTGTTAGGAGATATGAGTTTGCGTTTAACAGCCGTACGCAGTTGGCTTACTAGCCTCGAGAAAAGCTTTGGGGTGAAGCAAAGCCCTTTAGTCCGGTCGTGGCAGCTTGGAAGAGACACAGAGCAGCATCTCCACCGTGATTTCTCCCCCTCGCCCGCACACTCGCCTCTCTCTCCGCACCACTCTCCCCTCCCCTCCGTCCCTCCCCTTGACGTTTGATTCCAGCGGCCAGGGAGGGGGAAAAAAAGAGAGGCACAGAGCCGTCAGCCAAACCTGAACCGCGCGGCCCCGCCCGCTCCACAGCCATTGGTCGCGGCGCGCAGGAGGCCCGCCCCCCCGGGGGAAGCTGCGGCCGCCGAGTGGCTACCCGCGACGCCCGTCGGGCGCTGCCCCGCCCCGAGCCCGGGCGGGTTAGGTTGGCCGCCCGGACGAGCGGCAGAGCCCTTCTGGACAGCTCCCGCTCGCGCAGACGGAGGACGGCGGCGCCGGAGCGGGCTCGGACATGGCGAGGCAGCGCGCCGGCCCGCGCGGCGGGGCCCGGTGACCCTCCCGCGCCCGCCCGCCTCCCGCACGCGCGCCCCGCCCGCCCCCGCCCCGGTCGCGCCCGCCCGCAACCCGGGGCGCACACCCGCACGCGCGCTCCCCCTGCGCACACACACACATACACACACACACGCTCTCCCGCGCCCTCCGTCTCCGCCTGCAGCCGAGCTCCGCCACGCGCGCCTCGCCAGCCCGCCGGCCGCCCCCGCCGCTGCCGCCGCCGCCGCCGCCGCCCCCGGGCCCCGATGGACTGAATGAAGGCTGCCTACACCGCCTATCGATGCCTCACCAAAGACCTAGAAGGCTGCGCCATGAACCCGGAGCTGACAATGGAAAGTCTGGGCACTTTGCACGGGCCGGCCGGCGGCGGCAGTGGCGGGGGCGGCGGCGGTGGGGGCGGCGGGGGCGGCGGCGGGGGCCCGGGCCATGAGCCGGAGCTGCTGGCCAGCCCTAGCCCCCACCACGCGGGCCGCGGCGCCGCCGGCTCGCTGCGGGGCCCTCCGCCGCCGCCCCCGCCGCCGCCGCCCACGGCGCACCAGGAGCTGGGCACGGCGGCGGCGGCCGCGGCGGCGGCGGCGGCGTCGCGCTCGGCCATGGTCACTAGCATGGCCTCGATCCTGGACGGCGGCGACTACCGGCCCGAGCTGTCCATCCCGCTCCACCACGCCATGAGCATGTCCTGCGACTCGTCGCCGCCCGGCATGGGCATGAGCAACACCTACACCACGCTGACGCCGCTGCAGCCGCTGCCGCCCATCTCCACTGTCTCGGACAAGTTCCACCACGCGCACCCGCACCCGCACCCGCACGCGCACCATCACCATCACCAGCAGCAGCGCCTCCCGGGCAGCGTCAGCGGCGGCTTCGCGCTCCTGCGCGACGAGCGCGGGCTCCCGGCCATGAACAGCCTCTACAGCCCCTACAAGGAGGTGCCGGGCATGGGCCAGAGCCTGTCCCCGCTGGCCGCCACGCCGCTGGGCAACGGGCTGGGCGGGCTCCACAACGCGCAGCAGAGCCTGCCCAGCTACGGGCCCCCGGGCCCCGACAAGATGCTCAGCCCCAACTTCGACGCGCACCACACTGCCATGCTGACCCGCGGCGACCAGCACCTGTCCCGCGGCCTGGGCACCCCGCCCGCGGCCATGATGTCGCACCTCAACGGCCTGCACCACCCGGGCCACGCTCAGTCCCACGGGCCGGTGCTGGCGCCCAGCCGCGAGAGGCCACCCTCGTCGTCTTCGGGATCGCAGGTGGCCACCTCCGGCCAGCTGGAGGAGATCAACACCAAAGAGGTGGCCCAGCGCATCACCGCCGAGCTGAAGCGCTACAGCATCCCGCAGGCGATCTTCGCGCAGAGGGTGTTGTGCCGGTCTCAGGGGACTCTCTCCGACCTGCTCCGGAACCCCAAACCGTGGAGTAAACTCAAATCTGGCAGGGAGACCTTCCGCAGGATGTGGAAGTGGTTGCAGGAGCCCGAGTTCCAGCGCATGTCCGCCTTACGCCTGGCAGGTAAGCTCAGAGGGCCGTCTGGAGGCGGGCTGCCCGGCTGCGGCACCGAGCCTCCCCTCCGGGTCCCCTGTCCTTGTCCCTCCACGCTTGCCACTTCTTCTCTACTCCGTTCCTTCTCCGTTTCCTCTTTCTCCCCTCTTTTCTCTGTTCTCCCTTGCCCTTTCTCTCCCTTCTCACCCCCTTGTCTCTTGAGCTTCTTGCGCGATCCCATCCCGGTTTTGTTGGCACTCTGCTCACCGTGCCAACCACTCTGCCCTCTCTTTCGGACCTTCCCCAGTTGTGGGAGGCACGAGGAGGGTGTGCGGTGCCCACTGGGAGCCCTCTCGTTGCCAGACTCCCGGGGGCGGCGGGGTTGCCTCTATGTAGAAGCCTGTGCGCCTGAACTCTTGTTCAGACAATACGTTTCACTTCTCCCAGCTGCCTGGTCTCCCCATGTGGAGGCAGTTGGTGGCGAGAGGTAGTAGGCTTTAGAGGGGGAAGAGATCTTTCTGCGGTCTTTCTCCCCACCATGTTGGGCAAACTTATTCGGTCACTGACAGGAAGCACAGTCTTGCCCACGCGGGGCGCCGGGGTGGGGGCGGGGGGGCCGGGATACAACCGCGCTTCCGGAGCCGGTCCCTGGCCTTGACATTGGCGCGGGGACTTAGTGATGGAAAGAGCGGGCTGGGGCCAGCGCCCGTGTTCCTGCCCACAGTGAGGTTGGGACTGCCACATTCACCCCTCTGGGAGGACAGGAGAGGGGAAGCGGAGCGGGGAGCGTCCTGCCTTACTGGCCGGCCGCCCTTTGCCCGGCTCCCAGCGTTGGCCGCGGTGTGCCGAGGTGTGGCTGGACCCCGGGGACGAGGCTGGGAGCTCGCGGAAAGAGGGTGCTGAGAAATTAAGATGCAGGTTAGTTAACGCCTCCTGGGCGCTGGGCTCCCGGCTCCGCCTTTGCATTAAGCGGACGCGGGTGGTGCGCCGGGCTCGGCGACGGGGAGGGCTGGCGACCGGCGGGAGGGGACGGGTTGACGCGCCGGTTACATTGTTCTGGAGTCGGCTTGGGCTCTTTGTGCCTCCTCTAGCGGCCGAGCCGCGAGGTACAGCCCTCTATTGTTCTAGGAGCGCTGAAACCTCCCGTGTGGGCGGCGGGAGCCTAGAGAAAGGCGCAGCCCGGGCTGCGGCTGGTACCCGGGTGCGCGCTTTTGTGCCCCGGCGAGATGTGCGTGGCGGTTGCGCTGCGCCCCCGGGGATCCTGCCACGGGCCGGGAGGGGCGAAATGTCCAGGTGCCCCGCCGGGGAGGACGCACGGCCCCCGACTGCAGGCCGGGATTGGGCGGCTTCTTTTGGACTGAGCCACCTCTCCCCATCGTCAGATTGTCTGGGGGACAATTCGCAGTGGCGGTCATTTACATAAGGGAGCGGGGAGCCCGAAGTTCCGAGCGGCGCACAACGGGCTTCCGGAGGTAAAGCTCAAGCTTCCTCTCAGGCTCCCTGGGGCTTTCTTCGCACCATTGAGTCTGGCTCCTGGGGTGCACTCTGCCGACGCTGGACAGGGTTGGGGGATGTGACAGGCGGTGGGGAGGGGGCATTTCCACTCTGACAGCCGCCGTCTGCCTTTGCCTGTTGGAGGATTCCAGTCTCTAGTCCGTAACCCCCCGCAGTTTCGGTCCGAAAAAGTCCTGAAAACTAGGTCCGCCACCCCCAGAGTTTCCCCAAGTCGGTGAACTCCGAATAGTTCTGCATGGATCTGGAAACCTACTTTCTCTTTCTCCTAGCTTACTCTTAATCCTCTCCTACCGTTTTCTCTGATTGCTCTTGGTCCCTTGAAAAGATTAAGCAGGAAATAGTATCAGTGAAAAATGGACTGGAAGCCTACTGACAATTCCAAACCGTGTGGTCCCCCCTCTTTGTCTTAGGCCCCCCGAACATGCCCTTAGTCCCTCTCCGAGAGTTCTAGCGAGGACGGGCTTCCTGGGCACAGGCAGCAGAAGAAACTTGGCGGTCGGTCTCAGGGAAGGGAGGCCAGGGTAAGGAAGACAGGGCGACAGGGCTTCTACCGGGCTCATCTCAGAGCACTGCCGCCCCCTCATGCCTGTCCGGCAGAGGACACAGCTTTTTTTAAAAAGCCAGCCTTCTGCCCACATCTGTCTGAAAGTGAGCTGGAAAGAAACGCTTTGCTTGTCAGCCGGTCTCAAGCCTTTTTGCAAAAGCGTCCGGAGATTAGGGAGAGTGTGGCATCCGTGGGGGACCGCAGTCCCACCCCCCCATCGCCGAAGAGTCCCTGGGCCAGTCCTGGGGGGGCTGGCCTCATGGGGCACCAGGGCTTTTCAGAGCAGGAGGCCAAGAGCTTCCTTGGGCGAGTGGAAATCTCCTGCCAGGCACCCCACTTTGCTCAAGCATTCAAATGCGTGTCTGTTTTATTACCCTGAGTTGAAAAGGGACAAGAGCTTTAGCCTTTTTATCTGGCCATTTTATCAGCAACTACAAGTGTGTCGAGTGGTTATTATTACACAGGAGTCTTTTCAGCTTGGGGTCAGTAGATCAGTCTCTTCAGACACTGACGCAGAAGCTGGGCCTGGTAAGTAGGTATTATGTGCTCAGGAGCGCTAGCGAAAGGGAGCAAATGGGGAAGAAACACCGAGGCCTTCTCCTCCAGGAGTATTGATCCCACTCTCGCAGCGGACTCACAGTGAGGAGGGCTCCTGGGGCTTTCAGCAAACCTGGTGGGGTCTTTTCAGCAAGACCCTGATGTGGGAACCTGGCAGAGAGCGACCAGCCCCCATCTCACCAAGACCAAGTCTCTCTGTGTCTCGTCTTGATTTCTCTATCTTCTCTTAACTTCTCTGTCTCTTCTTAATTTCTCTTTCTGGTTCTCATTTTGGGTCTTGCCAGAGGCCTAAGCAGGCAGGGGTTTGAGGGAGCCCTGAATTAAGAATTAAGACGTCTGCTTCGGGCCAGCCATGGCTCCCTCTCGCAGAGGTGGAGTGCACCCCATCGCAGCAGAAGGGGGCCTTGCTCTGCTCCTTTCCCACTGCAGGGCTGTGGATCCACAGCCCCAGGTCGTATTTTAAAGGGGAAGGGAGAAGATGTCGGGGAAACTCAAGTTCGATTTCAGAGAAGGGGGTTCCAAGTGCACGACTCCGCTCATTAAGGGTGGCCACAGCGGAAACTGTTTGGGACCGCACGGGGTTGGTCCTCCTCCGTGGCGTCCAGGGTTGACTCCTGCAGGGCAGTTTTATTAACCCGAGAAGAGGCTTAAAAGGGCAGGGGGAGGGGGGCAACTCCCCAGCGGCTTCCAGCACAAACTCTCTCTGGCTTTGAGCCCAAGAGGCCTCTGAACCAAGCACAGACACGAAACAGGAAAGACGGAGAGAACGCAGGCAAGACTGGAGGGGCACCTCGTGGAGGAAAATCGCGCTCCCCATGGCGGGAGTTGGTTTCCTCCGACAGCTGGAAGACAGAGCAGAGCCCCCCCTGACGACCCTCGACCCTCGCGGCCAAGGTTTCGGCCTCCTGTGAGCCGGACTCCCCGGGCGGCCGGTGGGGAGCCTGTCTCCCGTCCCCACGGCGGACAGGCGCCTGACCCGCTCTGGGCAGCAGCTCCCAGAGGCCGATCCGGAGCCAACTCTGTTCCAGCGGCGGCAAACCCTTAACCAATCCACTGGGATGTCGCCTAGGCCCCCTGACGCCCGCGGCGGAGCGTGGCCGGGCCAGTGGGCCGCGGCGCCTTCCAGGGGCTCCCGGCGCGCCTGCGGCTCCTTTGGCGCCGAGGGGACGTCCTGCGACCTCGCTGAGCCTGGGGGTGAGCCTCAGGGTGGGGACGGGGGACCCCGTTCGCAGAGACCCTCCCCCTCCCTCGCCGGCGCCCAGGCGGTCCCGGTGTGTCTTTGCCGCCGGCTTAGCCGCCCGTGTACTTACGGCGCTCCCGGTCTTCTCTCGTGTCGGCTGGTTGGGTGAATAATTGGAAAGCTCGCCGCCATCCTTTGTTGGTCAAGTCCGCGGTGGCCTCGAGAATACCTTCCTAATTCTCTTTGGGGTGGGCGCGAGCGGGCCCGAGCAGCGGAGGGCAGTGAACCCGTGAGCGCGAGAAGTAGCCGGGTGGCCGCGCGCCCTGGATGCCAGAGGCGGCACCTTTATTTTCCTTCCAGGCTTTGCGCCGTGTGGGTATGTCACTTTCCTCAAACAAATGTGTATATGGAGGGAGATCGATGCTGATAATGTTTAGAAGATTAAAAGAGCATTAATGCTGGCAACGAGAACGTAAACGTGTGGACCCAGATTTCATTGATCCGGAATCCGATCCGGCGCGTTTCCAGTAAACCCGACGGGCGACCGCTTCCCAGCAGAGCGCACGGCAGCGGCCCGGCTCCCCGGCGCTCCCGCTGCGCCGCCTCCCCAGCTCCGGGCGGCGCTCGAGTCTCGCGGCCTCCCAGCCCGTGCTTCCTACCCCCGTCTCCTCTGTCGCCGGGCTGCCGACCTCTGGCCCTGTCTCCGTGCTCCCCGCGCGCGCTCCTCGCACGCACTCCCCGGGTGGCGGGTGTCCCCGAAGGCGCCGCGCGGGAAGCGAGTCCTCCCTCGCTTGGGGCGCCTTCGCCTTCGCCCTTGCCGCCCCTATCGGTTCCTGTAGGGCCCAGGGCAACTTCTCTCCTCAGCCGAAACCATCCGGGAAGTCTGGTCACCCCTCGTTACGCGGGATACTCCGAACTGAACGTCAGAAACGAGGTCTCCAAAGCTTCCTAGAAGCCTCGCAGCTTCCTGATCCGCGGATCCATACCCATCTAGGTTTGTCTTCCTTAAGAAAGAACATTCGCATTAAATGGTCCCACTCGCAGACTTTCTACACCGATGCATTAGTTGGACAATTAAACGAGGCCCCAGTGACAGTGGCCTAGGCGTCACCCTCTATGGTCTGCTCTGCTCTGGGCTAATTGGGGAGAATCTTGTTTCTTACCCCGCCGGGGGCAGGATGATGAGAAAAAAACAGCCCCGGGGACTGCCAGCCTCCTGGGGACTGGAGCGAT